TTAAGGAGACCCATGAAAGATAAAATAGGTTGGAAGGAAAAGCCGATGCTAGGGACAAGGAATTCCATGAGGCTCGTGCTGGTTTCTTGGGCATACTTAAACAAAATCAAGGGTGGCCAATGATGACACTAACAACCTGTGAGGGATCACTGAATGGCATAAGCATCACAAGGTAGTTTGAGTATTGGAGATCCTATATGGAGTTTTCATGATAAAATTTAAGAAGCCGACAATACTGAACTCTTGCTATATCGCCACTTATGGACCGAAAATGCGTCTTGACAAGTGGCTTGCATGAGGTTTCCATGAACTTGCTTGTGAGAAATTGAGAATGACTAAAATTACTTTATAAATACAATTAGAGGAACTTGTGATGAACATATTGTGGTGCTTCAGAGAACTCTACTATTTTTTGGTGCACGAATTCCAAGGGGAGATTCATGCCGCCAGATCAAAGATAGTGGCAAGTATGAAGCTGGGTCAAATAATTGTATTTTTTTGATAAAGTTTTCAAGGTAATGGGTCCAAAATACCCGTTTTGTTCGGGCATTGATGATACATGTCTTTTGATTGGGGAATTCAAAATCAATAAAGCCAGGTGGTTGTTCAACATAAACATCTTCTTGTATTTCACCATTCAGAAATGCACTCTTAACATCCATTTGGAAGAGTTTAATATTCATATAGCTAGCATATGCACACAAGAGGCGAATAGATTCAAGACAAGCAACTGGTGCAAATGTTTCATCGTAATCTATGCCCTCCTCTTGATTGTATCCTTGGGCAACTAATCGAGCCTTATTTTTAATGATGAATCCAAGTTCATCAGACTTATTTCTGAATACCCACTTAGTTCCAATAACAGTAGTGTTTAAAGAACGTGGGACTAATTCCCAAACTTTTAATCTAATGAAGTGAGACAGTTCCTCTTGCATAGCAATTAGCCATTCCTCATCAAGTATAGCTTCTTTATAATTTTTAGGTTCAAGTAAGGAGACAAAGGCATACTGACCTGGGATGTGCTTACCTCTGGTGTGGATGGGATTTGATAAATTACCTATGATTAGTGACGGGGGATGTTTTTTCCTGATATGAGCAGGAGCTTCACGGTCTTCAGGCAGACAGTCATCTTGAGAAGTTGAGTTGGTGACAGGAGAAGATGCTGAAGAGGCAGCATTTTCTTCTTGTGAATGTTCATCACTAGTACCTGTCTCAGAAGAAGAGCTAAGGGGCAAAAAGTCATAGTCATTGATGTTAGAGTGTAAGTGCAGAGAGGGGTGGGACTCATCAAATCGGACATGCACTGACTCTTCCACTTTTCTGGATTTCTTATTGAAGACCCTGTAGGCTTGTCCTTTGGTTGAGTAACCAAGAAAGATTCCTATATCTGATTTGGCGTCAAACTTTCCAATTGAATCTTTGGTGTTCAAAATATAGCACTTAGTTCCAAAGGGGTGAAAGTAAGAGATTTTTGGGGTTTTTCTTTTCAGAATTTCATAGGGAGTTTTGTTAACTGTCTTACGAATGGAGGATCGATTTATTAAGTAACAGGCTGTGTTGACAGCTTCTCCCAAGAGGAATTTTGGACAGTTGAATTCCAAAAGCATGGTTCTTGCTGTTTCTATGAGTGTTCTATTCTTTCTTTCCACAACACCGTTTTGTTGTGGAGTCCTAGGTGCAGATAGGGTGTGGAGAATGCCTAGCTTGTCACAGAAGGAACCGAATTCATCATTGATGAATTGACCCCCATTATCACTTCTGATAGATTTCAAGGAGCAGTCAAATTGTTTTTGCATCAGAACAATAGATGATTTGAATTTAGAAAATGCTTCATCTTTAGAGGCGAGGAAATACACCCAGGTATACCTAGAAAAGTCATCAACCAAGACTAACACATAGGATTTCCCACCTGAACATTGGTAGGACCAAGAGATCCATGTAAATTAACTCGAAGACTGATGATGTAGTGATATCTGGTTTACTTTTAAATGATTTTTTGCAATGTTTATCAAGAATACAGGCTTCACAAGTAAATTTATCTGAAGCTTTAATGATAGGCAGTCCTCTAACTAGATTGAGTTTAGATAATTTAGCTAGTCTAGACATGCTCATGTGCCCTAGTTTTCTATGCCAGGAGATTGCTCTATCAGATACAGAGCTAAGACAAATATCCTCAGAAAGATCTAGGGTTGACAGATCAATTGTATAGACATTATTGATCTTCTCTCCCTTGAAAATCATGGTATTATCAGAGATACGTTCAATGATGCAGCATGAGGGATCAAATATGACTCTATAGGTTGAACCACAAATCCGAATAATGGATAAAAGATTGTGCTTTAAACCATCAACATATAAAACATCTTCAATAATGAGAGAGGAATTACTACTAATTGTTCCTTTCCTACCACAGACGCACAGTTATTATTTCCATAAAATACTTTACCTCCTCTTTTTGAATTAAGGTGAGAAAACAAATCTTTGTTACCTGTCATATGGTGGGAGCATCCAGAATCTAAATACCAGATGTTAGCACCATTTTTACTATGAAAAGAGAAAGAAGCTTAATTAGAAGATTTAACCACCCAAACAAGTTTGGGTTTTGGTTTCCTTGAGTAGCAATGAACATTATTATGACCAGATTTGCTACATAATGAGCAAAAAAGAGGATATTTCCGAATGCCATAATGATGTTTAGGTAAGAACTCATATTGGTATTTAGATTTAGGTATTCTAACAGAGTGATGCTGTATTGGGATATTCCAGTTGATAATTTTGTGGCAGTAGTCTAGTTTTTTTCTCATATCAACATTTTCAAAGTTGAGTTTAGCAACTTGAGAATCTTCCGTAATTTGAGCTTTATGTTGAATGTCAATAAGCTCTTTAAGTTTCTTGATTTCAGTTTCTTTTTCATTCAGTTGAGTAACAGTGAGACAGTACTTACTTTTTAGCAAATTGCATTCATTTTGCAGATTAGTCAAAGCATGAAGAAAGAAATCTTCATTAGGGGATTAAGACATTTCATCTAAAGAGGAGTCAGACCATACCTTTTCATCTTTGTGATACTCTTCTGGATTGGAATTTAGCCCCATATATGCCACAATCTCAGATTCATCTTCAGAGCTGTACTCACTCCAGGAGGCAGTCATGGCCTTTTCTTTCTTTTTGTTCAGAGGACAGTTTGCTCTCACATGACCTGTTTTTCCACATTTGAAACAGATAGTAGAATCAGATTTTTCATTAGAGTTCTTGCTATCTTTAGGACTTGAGTCAGGTCTGTTAGATCCAAATGAGTTTTTGTCATTTGATCCACAAGAATTGAGTCCAGATGACCTAGAGTAACTGTTGGACATGTTTCCAAATGATCTTGGTGAATAATTATTGCCTTAACTTCTTCTTTTTGTATTTTGATCATTCTTAAACTTCATCATTCTTTGGAGTTTTTTGCTGGTTAGAGCGAGTTCATTCTCAAACTCCTCATCCAGTTTTTCAGCTTCATCAAGAATTGAGGTTTTAAAAGCAATAGATTTATTCTTTTTGTCTTGGAGGGAGTTCATTTGTTTGAGAACTTCCTCATGACTGAGAAGGGATCCAATTAAGTTTTCAAGAGATAAAATATTTAGATCCTTAGCTTCCTCAATGGCACTTCTTTTAGCCATCCATTCAAGTGGAAGAGATCTAAGCACTTTTCTCACAAGTTCTTTACTGGTGAATGACTTTCCTAATCCCTTGAGACGATTTACAAGGGTTGAAAATCTCTTATCCATTTCAGAAATGGATTCACCAGATAGCATATCAAATGTTTCATATTCTTTTAACAGTAAGTCTATTCTAGTTTCCTTGACTTCTGAAGTCCCTTCATAAGTAGTTTCAAGTATAGACCAAATTTCTTTTGCAAATTCACATTTATTAACTCTTTCTCCTTCATCTTTAGATATGGCAGAAAGTAGAATATGCATAGCCCTAGAGTCTAGTTGAGCATTTTTCTTTTGTTCATCAGACCAATCCTCCTCATCATCTTCTTTCATGTCAATTGGTCCATTTCGGACAATTGCCCATAATTCACAATCGATTCCTCGGAGGTAGAGTCTCATTCTTTTCTTCCATACTGAATAATTAGACCCAGAAAACCATGGAGGATTTGAGCTCGTGGGAAACTAATTAGATGACATAGCAGAGTAAAAGAGCTCAATCTCGGCAACTATTAAGTCCAACAAGAAGGGGGCTCTGATACCAATTGTGGTTTCACTATGTATCTAATATCATTCCCTTGATTGAATGCATAAAGAATTAACGCAACAATTTAGTTAAATCAAAGTCGCTTTCGATTGGATTAAAAGATATAATAGAATGACCTAGACAGAATCCAATCGAAGAGGAAGAACACAGAATTGAATCAATTCAATTACGAAAGGGAGAAACAGAACAGACAGGCAAGACTAAACGTTATGCCCAGATAAGCTTGAGTCCCTGGCACTAGGCCCCAACTCAAGCTTTCCAGACACTTTCACCGACCCAGACCTAGAACCCCCAAAGAGCAAACTCGCTCTTACTGAGAACAGGAAACCGTCACCTTTCTTCTTCCTGGAGGGGTCTTTAAATAGATCAGCATCCTTCATTGATCGTCTCTTCCTTCTTCAATGAAGTTACCGTTTGAGTCGAGAATTGGGGAGGAGACCGAATCATGGAAGAACGAGAGAGAGAGAGAGAGCCTTTTCTGTGTTGTATCGATGATGAAGAAGGGATGAAGGTGAAGACGCCATCAGTTGTCTTTGACGACTTCGTTTGGGCCTTGTGGTTGAGTGGGCTCAAATGGGCTAGCGGTGGAGACTCAGGCCAGGCCCAACAGATTCAGCATTGAATTCAAGGTTGATTTTGAGGGGGTGAACTAATGGATACATATGTATTGGATAAGGGTAGTTTAGGGAATTATTCGTTAGTTAGCGAGTAGGGATTAGCCTATAGCCTATATAATATAGTTTCATATTCCGTTATTCATTATCAAATACCAAGAACATTTTAACTTATCTCATCTATCCCATTCATCTTATTTCCAATGCTCTGACCTCCTTTTTGAGAGGATAGTGACGAAGTTCATATAAAGGTACCAAACTCGGGTCCTATTCTTAGTCACTTCTTTTGTATGCGTGATACAATTATTTTTGGGAAGACATAGCCAACAAGAAGGATAGAGAATTCCGGAAATTATTAATGAATATTTAGCTATTATTGGATAAGACGTCAACTTAAATAAATTATATATCTTCTTTAGTGTTATGTCCCCCAAGATGATAATGATGTGATTATTTTGCGTGTTGGATTTGCAAGTTCTATGCTACTCCAATTATCTGGAATTTCTAGTGGAATGGAAAATTCAAAGAAGCAGTCTTTCTATTTTTCTCATTTGAAAAATGGAAAATATGGGGGTAATCATGGAAAAGCTTTCTCCTATCACATGGGGAGAAAGGGAATTATTCTCAAAACTATTACCTAGGTTATCCCTTTCTTTATCATGTGGTTTTTCCTTATTCCAATTGGCGTCACTAACAAAATGTACTCCTTTATTAGGAACTTCTTGAGGTCAATTTTGATGCAATAAAGTCATTTGCATTGGTTCAAATGTGAAGTATTATGCTCTCCAAAGATGTAAAGGAGCTTGAAAATTTGAAGTTCAATAGATTTCAATATGGCTCTTTTATCCAAACAAACGTGAAAAATACTAAATGCACCCGATGCACTATGGAGAGACTTCTAAAGGGTCTCTACCTCTATAGAGGAAACTTTATGACGATAAAGAATGAAGCACGCCTTTTTGGATTTGGGCTAGTGTGTGTGAATTGTGATTCTAAGTAAGGTCTTAAATTGGGGACGATAAAAGTGGTGGGTTCATGCAATTGATACATGGATTGACCAGGAATTGGGAGTGGGCCTCAGGTTCATAGAAACTTGGGATATTGATCATGTCAAGGGTTGTGTTTCTCAACATGAATTGGAATCCATTCATAGGATTCCTTTTTAAGTTGAGGGTTCAAAAGTTTTTTGGGCTTGGAGATTTACCAATGAAGGGGAATTCTCGATTTAGATAGCTTTCAAGAGATATCCATAAGGCTAATTGATGACTCGATATTTGCACATGTTTTCCCCTTTGTTTCTTAATCGTTTGAGCTTTAATTATCGCGTCTTTGGCCTATTTTACGCTAGGTTGTGTTCCTTTGTCACATTTCAGGTCCTAGCACATAAAGTGAAGCATAGGCGCAAGTTTCAAGTCAATCAGAGATCAATTGGCGATTAAGGAGAAGAAACTCGGGCATGACCTGAAGAAGAATGGATTTATACCTCACTTTATGGACAAATAATCATGCAAGCTTTTCATGAAAATAAAGAGGACAAGACTACGAGCGTCTGGGATCAAACGGCGACTGATTCGGAGTCCGGACGAGGGAGAAACGAAGCATTGAATATAGGGGAACAGGTTCGGCAGTAAAAACACGGGCGCGCCGAAATCAAAACACGGCCGTGTCCATATTTAGGCACGACCGTGTTTTGGCCGACGCGCGCGGGCGTGTTTTTAACACGGGGCAAAACACAGGCGGGCAAAACCAAAGCACGGACGTGTCCTCGACCGTGTTTTGCCCAGAATCGGGTTTTTTAGGCAGATTGAAGCCAAAGGAAAGGGAGAGCTGGGTTTTGGATCCAAAACACCCAAGGGACGAACCCTAGAGAGAGAGAGCGACTTGGGAATATTCTTGGAGATATTTTGGAGGATTTCTTCGCCATTGGAGCTCGGGAATCAAGCTTGGAGATGGAGATTGAAGATCTAGATCAGATTTCTGCAGTCTCTCTCTTCTCTATGGAGTAACTTCCCTTCACTTAGGTTTTGAGGAACCCTAGCTATGTTTGTTTGATTGGATGATTGTATGAGTACTCTGACTTGATAATCTTGAGTTCATATTCAATCTATGCATGTTTTCATGATTCAATTCTGCTTTAGTCGAGATTATTGATTCTGCTTTGATCCTATGAGAGTGAATACCTGATTAGGTCAATAGAGCACCATAGATTGATGGTAGTGGATCAATTGCTTTAGTCGAGGGTTGATTCACTGCTTTGTATCGATTGAGAACCTCTTTCGATAGAGGGAATCTAGTTCAGAACGCCTTGATCGGTTGTTCTAGAGAAGGATACGTCCCTCTAGGCAATTGACTCAAGAGGGCCTTGTTCCTTTAGTCGAGACTCAAGGTCTAGTCAAGGATTCTCCGCATTGTGAATGAAAGTGAAACAAGTTAGAAATCATCAATCGTTAGTCTGGCTAGTGGCTAGGGGGAATCATACCTAAGTGAGTTCCCAACCTGTAATTAGATTAACTTTAACTGTAGGTTGCTAGAGTAGTTTTAGTTGTTCTATCTTAATCTGGTTTGCTAGAGAATGAACTGAAGCTGAGTAATAGTAACTCTAGAGACCCGTGGATTCGATATTTATTACTTGAGCCACTATATTGCAGTCCCTTCCATTGGTTACACTTGGCCATTGTTAGGTGTTGTGTCGTAGCGAGTCAAGTTTTTTGGCGCCGTTGCCGGGGACTTTCTAGATTATTAGGAAATGCAAAAGTTTGTTACTTTAGCGTTTTTCTTTTCTTTTCTTTTCCACCCTTGCTTTTCACTTGGGTGTTTTTGTTTTTGTTGGTGCAGATATGAATCATGGATCCTTATGGCTTCTCCAACAATTGGGGGTATCCACCACCACCCGAGTGGTATTACCCCGAGACTCCCTAGAGCAATCAAGGAGGAGAAGACTATGGATTCGGGTTCCAGTACCAACCCCCTTACTAAGGAGAACAACCGGACCCCTGGGCATATCAAGAACAACCTCATTACCAAGATGAATTTATCCCACAACCAGAAGGGCCATCGGCGCTGGAGTTACCCATGGCGGCCTTCACGGGTCATTCTGCAGAGCCATGCTACACTCCACAGCCAGATCCAAACTATGAATTGAGGCTTCTCGTGGAGCAGTATGCTTGCAAGATGGACCTCCTTTTCTCATCTGTTGCTCCTCCTAACTCTTCATCCCTCCGTGAATCGGAGGAGACTGTTTCTCACTCATCAAAGCAACCAGAGCGGGTTGAGCAAGTTTGTGCACAACTTGCTCAAGATCACCCGTCTGCTACCATAATAGAAGAGGAGGAGGAAGAACAAGGCTACAAGGACATTGTGGAGCAAACAGAGATTATCACGGAGAGCTCCCGTGAAGATCATGATCAAGAATGTCCTGTCGTAGCCGACCACCCCTTCTCACATCCCACACCGAGCTTTGAAGTGGCGGGCATGAGTGAGGAGATGCAAGAAGATATCATGAAAGAAATTGCTTGGCAACTTGCTCTCCAATTCGTGCTAGAAGAAGAAGAGCAAGAAAGGGTGCAGAATGAAGTTGTGGAGGATGACGAAAGTGAAGCAGGAGGAGTTCTTGATCATTTCCCAGGGGTGATACCACATGAAGAAGAAAGGGAGGTTGAGGAAGCAATTGGCGTCCAGCCTGAGGACGGAGTTAAGTGTGGAAGAGGCCTGCACCGGCCATGAGTTACATGTAATATCCCCACCCAACTTCGAGGAACTGCTTAGCAAGGACCCATTTGCAGTGTCTCTTTGCCAGACCAAGGCCACATCGACATCGGTTCCTCTTTGTGGAAGCGATGGTGGCCAATCGATGCTGTCATATCTGGTTTGGGGCAATGGGACGAGAGAAGAGAAGAAGAGATCTCGAGGGTGGAGACTTCATCTGCATCAAGTGCATGAGCCTTCATCACCTGCCACACCACATGCTCGTGACTTGAGAGTCCACCTCATTGACGAGAATCTCAACTTCAAGGAGTTTTTGGGGTGGACCGAAACTTAGGAACTATCGTCCGGCTCATGACGTGAAAGAAGCGCTTGTTGGGAGGCAACCCAACCAGTCGGTTTGCATTTCTTTCTCTTTTTCTCCTCGGTTGAGTCAGTTTTGTTATTTGATTTTAGAGTCAATAACTCAACCTTTGTGAGATTCTGTGTGGTGTTTGTGTTCTGACCACTCTCTCCTTCGGAAATACACCGCCTGCCCCGTCCACCATCATTCACCCTGGATCTGGTAACTTCGTTCTACCCTCCTTATCTTTCCTCCATTGAGGACAATGTCGTGCTTAAGTGTGGGGGTGTTCGATTATGTATGCGGGTGAATGTTTGGCTGTTTGTGTGCTTGGAGCCTAGTCCACTGTCCAAAATTTTAAATTTGAGGGCTCCAAGTACGTGTTTCCTTGCAAATTACCTGCTCAGTATGCTTTGAATTGACAGTCTCTATAGTAATGTGCAACCTAGGGAGGTAGTGTAGCACTATGGAGGATGTTGAAGTATAAAATTTTTCCTATCTAGCTCTCTGCTGTGCCAGTTGATTTTGTGAATTAGTGGAGCTAAGACCGTTGAATTCATGTGGTAATGGTGACTCTGTTTGGATTGTGTTATGGACTCGTGTATCGAACAAGGTGCTCGTGTGAAAAATGAAATGCAGTTGGTCCTCCATGTCAAAATCATTAAATATTAAACATGGGGTAAGCCCAACGTGTGCGGCACCGTTCATTGCACACAATCGGGTTTTGGAAGATATTTTAGTGATCCTTAGTGGGGTACTCCTACAAGGTGAAGCTAAGCTGTGTCTAGTACAAGTAAAACTTCCACCCGTTGAACGGTTTGCCTACTTGAGGATGTGTTTTTAAGGGCACGGATAGAGCTTCCGACCCCCCTTAATTTCATTGACCCTCCACACAAGTTGAGGAAAAGGAGTTAAAAGAAGTACTCTGGCGAGCGCCAGATGTACAGAAATTGCTCTTGCTCGACTAATAAGGGTCGACCGTGCAAAAGACTGCAGTTGGAACCCCCGCCAAGTGAATGAAAAAGGAAAAAAAAAGTAAAATGAAAGTGAAAAAGGGGTTCCAACGGTGAAATGAAGTGAAAGAGCACCCCAGTACAACGAGTCCTTGGTTGTGAATGGTGTGAGTCCCTTTTATCCATGAACTGACTGTCTTACTTCTACCTCTTCTCATGATCCTTGCTTGAGTCTAGTACTCGCATTGAGAGAGATAGAGAACGTCTTAGAAGACTAGTTGACCTCGTAAGCTGCTATATTATCTAGGAAATCCTCTACCAACGATCGGGGTTGTATGTTGCTATAGAGGTCTGGAGAGCTGCATTGGTTTGAGGTAGGTTTTCTTGGGGACAAGCAAACGGTTAAGTGTGGGGGGATTTGATGACTCGATATTTGCACATGTTTTCCCCTTTGTTTCTTGATCGTTTGAGCTTTAATTATCGCGTCTTTGGCCTATTTTACACTAGGTTGTGTTCCTTTGTCACATTTCAGATCCTAGCACATAAAGTGAAGCATAGGCGCAAGTTTCAAGTCAATCAGAGATCAATTGGCGATTAGGGAGAAGAAACTCGAGCATTACCTTAAGAAGAATGGACTTCTACCTCACTTGATGGACAAATAATCATGCAATCTTGTCATGAAAATAAATAAGACGAGACTACGAGCGTCTGGGATCAAACGGCGACTGATTCGGAGTCCGGACGAGGGAGAAACAAAGCATTGAATATAGGGGAACAGGTTCGGCAGTAAAAACACGGGCGCGCCAAAATCAAAACACGGTCGTGTCCATATTTAGGCACGACCATGTTTTGGCCGACGCGCGCGGGCGTGTTTTTAACACGGGTCAAAACACGGGCGAGCAAAACCAAAGCACGGCCATGTCCTCGACCGTGTTTTGCCCAGAATCGGGTTTTTTAGGTAGATTGAAGCCAAAGGAAAGGGAGAGATGGGTTTTGGATCCAAAACACCCAAGGGACGAGCCATAGAGAGAGAGAGAGAGCGACTTGGGAACATTCTTGAAGCTATTTTGGAGGATTTCTTCGCCATTGGAGCTCGTGAATCAAACTTGGAGATGGAGATTGAAGATCTAGATCATTTCTGCAGTCTCTCTCTTCTCTATGGAGTAACTTCCCTTCACTTAGGTTTTGAGGAACCCTAACTATGTTTGTTTGATTGGATGATTGTATGAGTATTCTGACTTGATAATCTTGAGTTCATATTCAATCTATGCATGTTTTCATGATTCAATTCTGCTTTAGTTGAGATTATTGATTCTGCTTTGATCCTATGAGAGCGAATACCTGATTAGGTCAATAGAGCATCATAGATTGATAGTAGTGGATCGATTTCTTTAGTCGAGGGTTGATTCACTGCTTTGTATCGATTGAGAACCTCTTTCGATAGAGGAAATCTAGTTCAGAATGCCTTGATCGGTTGTTCTAGAGAAGGATACGTCCCTCTAGGCAATTGACTCAAGAGGGCCTTGTTCCTTTAGTCGAGACTCAAGGTCTAGTCAAGGATTCTCCGCATTGTGAATGAAAGTGAAACAAGTTAGAAATCATTAATCGTTAGTCTGGCTAGTGGCTAGGGGGAATCATACCTAAGTGAGTTTCCAACCTGTAATTAGATTAACTTTAACTGTAGGTTGCTAGAGTAGTTTTAGTTGTTCTATCTTAATCTAGTTTGCTAGATAATGAACTGAAGCTGAGTAATAGTAACTCTAGAGACCCGTGGATTCGATATTTATTACTTGAGCCACTATACTGCAGCCCCTTCCATTGGTTACACTTGGCCATTGTTAGGTGTTGTATCGTAGCGAGTCACTAATTCGAACATCACAACTTAAGTTGGAGTGAATAAAAGGAAGTCAATTTTGAGTATGCACGTATTACCAGAGTCAAGTTCTTCATTTGGAGGTGCTTGAAGAATGGTTTATCCACAAAGTCTAGACTCCAATTGTCGTAAATGATTGACTTACTCTCTATGCCAACACCCATACGAGTACCTTATCCATTGCCTCTCTAGTTGCCTCATGCTATGAGCAAGTGGATGTTATATTCTCATCTCCTCCCAATCTGCCTCTTTATCTGATTGGTTCTGCTCAATAAAGGATTATCTCCAACCCCAAAGCATCCTTCAAGTTGTTTTACTGTGTTGGAATCCTAGAAGGCTAGGAATGAATGTGTATTCATGAACCATCTATCGTGGCCTCCTCATACAACCTGTGTAACTCCTCCTGGGAATTTCTTGAGTGGCATGCATGAATTACATGTCTCTGCCTTAAATCCCTATTTCTCAGCCTAGGGAGCTCGTACTCATACTTTTCCATTATCGAGTAATCACTTGATGGTACTTCACTTGTGTTTGGGTCATTTATAAGTGACTACCAGATGACAACATATGGTGTTGTGAGTTTTGACCATAAACAATCATGGACAAGTTTGTGATGGACGGACAAACAATTCTTTGTTCTACTCTATTTGCGGTTGGAGCAAATGCCCTTTCGAAAGGAATCAAGTTGGCTTAAGAATATGAATTTGAGTGTGTGATCAAGTTTAATTGTTAGGTCCTTGTTGATCGATCAAGGATATCCCAACTAGGTGACCTTGGCGATGTGCAACAAGGGTCAATATGATGATATTTATTATGAGATTGAGCCCTCAAGTCAAGACTGAAGAAATTTGCATATGCTATTGCATATTAGATGGCTCGTTCTTTAACTAGATTGTCTCGTATGACTGGATCAAACCCTTGCATACCACTAAATACCCTAATGGGAGGGCAATGGCCACGTGAGGGGTAATCGAATATGTGTGTACTGGTGTCCAAACGCCATCTGTAGGGGTGAGCACGTGGGTGGTTAATCCGCAGATTGATATCGATCCACCCGCAAATAACCCGACCCGCACGTAGTGGGTGATTGATGTTGGTGGATTGCGAATTGATAAAATTTCCACTCGCACTTATGTGGGTGGGTGGTGTGTGGATTGCGAGTCACCCGTATGACCCGCATCCTATTTTTATATGAAAAATGTTGTTTTCTATAGTATAGAATATTCATCATATTTTTGAACTGTACTACAGTCTAATCATATACTTCAAAAGGTGGAGTACAAAAAATAGTTTTGACTACTATTATTGGGTATTGTGTTGTGCAATAACCAATAGATATTGAATATTGGTATGCAAATTATTGTCAATATCCATTAAATATTGGGATGCAAAGTATAAATTATTAATTGTATAAAAATCATAAATTATTGATACAATCTTACTAATTTGTTATGAACTTATTATAAATGTTAATCAACTTTCTTAATGGCTAGCTGGAGAATTGATATTGCGGATTGACCCGCGATCCAACTGAAGCCATCCGCCACCCACCGAATCCAACCCACATAAGTATATGAGTAGATTGCGAATCAGAATAATTTCAATTCGCTAATAAGCGGGTGGGTCAATTTGATATCAAAACCCACTCAACCCGCTCATGCCCACCCCTAGCCGCCTGGGAAATCTCATAACCAAATGCTTTCAAACGACACCGTAGCTTTCTAAACACTAAAAACATTCTCAACGCGTCAACGACTTCTCTCGCCTCTAAATATTCTCGTCCTGCTTTAGCTATCTAGTGCTTCAAATCGCCGGCGACTAGTATCGACCATCACCCGTCGATCGGACAATCAGTTCGCCACTCTTCGACGACGATGCCGTATGACGGTTTCCCGCCTTTAATTTCCTCTCAGCTTCAGTATCTCCTCAATCACTCGTCTCACCTGATCAAGGTAATCGTCGTTCTCTCGAATCCCTTACCACGCAATCTGTTTGGTTCGCGAGAAAACTTACTCCGAAACGTCCCTATTCGAGGATTTCACGATTTTCATTTCAGCTCTTGAACTTTGTCCTTTCAATTTAGCTCTATACTGCCCGGTTCATTGCATTGGATGTAAGAGAATTTCTCAAAGTCGCAATAGATTTGAATTTCGATCATGTAATTCACAATTTACATTGGCTGTGTGTTGTTCAAACCTTAGCTAGGGTTATTTGCTCTGTTCTAATTCAGCTGCTGAGATTGCGCATTGGCAGCTCACCTTCGCTTTTGTTTGTAGGTCGAGCAAGTTTGGTCTGGGACTAAGTATTTCCCAGGAGCTTTTGATCGGTTCACATTGGTGATTCCGTACTGCCTAGACTTCATCAGATGTTAGTGTCGCTATAAACTTCAACGGCTTGTTTCACTGTGGTCCTTGATTGTTCTTTGTGGGTTCACTTGTGTATAGCTGGTTTGGTGTAGGGGACGTGGTGTACAATGCAGAATTACCCATGGCACCACCAGACGTTATATTTGCAGCTGAAGACGAGGATTTCCACCCCTTACATGCAGACACGAAGCTTCTCCAGGGTATTTTGTGTAACTGGAACTTCAAAGACCCAACATGCTTGTTCAATTTGATCGAGGAACTGAGGTTGTTATTTTACTTGGTGATATTCTTCATCTGGGTGCCCAGTTTTTTTTTTTTTTTGGCTAAGCATCAGTTGATTGTGGCGATTCTTATTCATTTACAGAAGGAAATACGTCAAGTACCAGACCAATCTTGTTGAAAGAGTGGATGATGATCGATTGAAGTTTGAGATTAGCACCATCATATCTAGGGAGGTAAGGCTAAAATATCTCTTTCTGTATGCCTTTCAAGTTTCAACTACGCACAGCCTTATATCTATTCGTCATCTTACTGATCCTTCATCTTTGTACTTCAGGGAATTGAAATGCACATGAGTTCTGGAACTGATAAGGTACTCTGAACACAAATCCTTTTAGTTTACTACGTCTTCGTTTTAGCATTGACCACAATTTAGTGCATATTGTTGGTTCTTATCCTTTGAATTTTGGTGTAGCCAGAAGAGGTCAAATTTGCAGTGCCTTTAATGGACATGAACATAAACAAGATGGTGCTTGCCTGTCCTTGGAGACACCAACAAAAGATATACTTGCAGGTTCTTGTAATTCCATTGTATCTGTGAAGTTTCCATTTATTTCCTAGTTAACTATGCTATCAGTTCACTGTAGTTAAATTGATATTTTTGTTCCTTTCAGGTTGTATATCCAGTTGGGAGAAAGTATCTTTCTGCACCTTCAGCACCTCGCCTAAAATTAATGAGCTCCGCAGAACTTAAAGCTCTATTTCCTGTCGATGAGATTAAGCTCCCTTCTTGGGTGGATGGGATGTAAGTAAAGATGTTTCTTGCTTTTCTATTAAGTGTCTGATGTTGTAGTTTCTATCTGGTTTTCTTCCTGTGGTTGGAATAAATATTTTTGCTGATAAAATCACCTCTCTGTCTATTTCTCAAGGTGTTTGGCTGAATATCTGCCCCATCTAGAGGAACTTCTTCAGAAACAGGTTGGCTGATCCCCTTCGTCTAGATAATAATTTTGCATGCCCCCTGTTTTCACTCTAATGCTTCTGTTGGGTTGTCCAGGTCTTGGAGGCAGTTTCTCTAATTGATGTTAGGAGGCATTTTATTGAGGCTTTGGCGCCCTTGTTTGGCAGGCCACTAGAGGCTGACCCGGTAAGGTTTTTATTTTTATTTTGAACATTCCCTTAACTAGTTGAGCATGATGGTGATATACCGCTACTTTTTCTCTTGCTTGCCAGGTTTTCTGCAGAAAGGCTACTTTTCTTGCCAACTCTGGACCATTTACATTCCTGGTACCCTATGGTTTCGGTTTTATTTCTCCCTTCTTTCTCTCCCTTTGGCGTCACTTAAAAATCTGAACATGGTTTGAACTTACACACTGTCATGGCATTGGTGCAACATTACCATAGTTACTGTTTCATATGCTACAACGAGCTTGTGGCTCAAGTGTACTAAAATCTTGAATATTGCTATTACAGGTGCATGTTTCCATTTCAACTCAGTTTCCAAAACAGCCTCCATCTCTGATGCTTCAAAGTACTCAGGTAATATTGTTGCTGAGTTACGTAACAATGATAGCTAGTTGTCTCTTACCCATCCTTATTCTTTCCATCTTTATTCACATGCAATCCATATTGGTGGAAAGTATCACTTGTAACTCCTGGATACTAATTAAAGATCTACTGCTGTCAATAGCATGTTAATCCAAGAGACATGCCAGTCAAGTCAGCTATTATGAATGAATATCCATGGAGCCCAAGATGGGAAGTAATGCTGATGGCAGAGAAGATCCAGTGAGTCTTACCTTTATCCTTCCCCAATCTTTGTTTCTTTTTTTTTTTTCCATTCTTCTCTTTGCAAACCCAATTTAGCCATTAGTCAGTTTGTTCACTCATGCCCTTCTGCTAATAAAAAATACCCTTCTTTTCAGCGAGTTTTTGTTCGACGAGTGCCTAAATTTCAAGAGATATTGCAATGAATCACAGCAGCAGTAGAATGATTCAAGTTCTGCTCCGATAGTTTGTATTTGTTGGCCAGTCACTGCCAATGAATCCAAGTAGCTTGATTGTAGTACCCTGGATTACACTGTTGTCAAATCCTTGTACCTTGTTATTTTGTTGTAATTAGTGGATGCAGGAAGTAATGGAAAGCGGTTTTGTAACTGTCTTTTGTGGTTGGGTTATATTTGCCTGCCTGCCTGCAAAGATGCTATCAAAATGCTTGAATACTCTCAACTTTTGGCTGATCTCCACTTGGCTCAACTGAGAAATATAAGCTTCGGAGTTCCGACTGTGAATGTGGTTGCCCGATGTACTCTTGTTTATGCCCTCTCATTATCAGTAGAAAGGAAGTTGAGCAATTGGCCACTTGTTTTCTAGCATTGGCCTGTTGAACGAATCTTAGCTTAACACTGTTATTGTAAGTAGGAAGAAGTTGAGCAATTGATTCAATCCATGCCGAGTAACTCCTAAAGGGCGATCTCCTAAAATGAGAGGGGAAAGATAACCATTCACCATTGCGACGAGTGTCACACAATCTGACCAAACTATAGTGGAGCATTTGCCAACAAGAAGAACTTTCACTTTGGGCACAATGCCTTAAGAATGGTTAGATGATCAGCCAACCCATTGCCAAATTTGACTTGTGGAAGTTAGAATTGACAGACTCCTAGCTTGTCCACTAAGAACCAACGAAAGGTACCTGTTTAGGCCTGGTTCGTACCAGGCGGTTTTTGTGAGGCTTCGCTGACTTCGTGCGGTCCTTCGTAGGTGAGAGGCGGTCCTCGAAGTCCTGCAAGAAAGGTCCACAGGGGGTGTCCTGGGACCTCATCCGATGCTAAAATTAGAGAGAGAAGTTGATGTGGAGTAAATAAGAGAGAGAATGTAGTCGATAGGAGTTACCATAAATGTGATCCGAGATGGGTATTTATATCAGCGAAAGCTGGGGTGAATGCATTTAATTCTGTGTCGGGCGGTCTTGGACGCCTGAGCTCTGACCCTCTGAAACTGTCAGTTCGTACTTCCGCCAGTCTCCGTACCAAGTGTTCAGAGTGTCTTTTGTCTCACTTGTCGGGCGGTTTCCTGAAGTTCCGTTGAGGAGATGTCGGGCGGCCTTCTGGCTTAGGCGCCTCAAAGAAGACCACCTTCCGTGCCCCTTTGGGCCGGACCCAGTTGCTTAGTGGGCTTTTTAGCAAGTCATGGGCTTGGGGCTCGTAAATCCTGATTATTGGCCCAACAGTACCCATCACAGTGATTGTCTAGCATGTTTTACAACTTATGGCGTTGCCAGCTTGTGATTCTTGTTGTTATTTATGTAGTAATTGTGTTAATGCGATTTAAATAGAAAAGCCCGTCTAGCTCAGTTGGTAGAGCGCAAGGCTCTTAACCTTGTGGTCGTGGGTTCGAGCCCCACGGTGGGCGTATTTTTCCAACACCTTCTCCCTGCATTTTTTAGATCCTAAAGCCCAACTATTACAGAAACAAGTTCCCGTCCAAATCGGAAGCCCACGTTCATTAACCGCACCCTCCCTTCAACTTCCTTTCCCCTAACGCCGTTCACTTAACGATCCGCCCAAAAACTCCCCCGCTCGGCGCTCGCCCTCTCTTAACTTCCTTCTACCGCCGTTACCTTAACGTCTCAAAAATATCGACACCATACCTTCCAAAAAAACCATCCGTCTCCCCCCAAAAAAGCCTTCTTACTATATATTCACACTTTGGTTCCCTCTCTCACCCCCGCTCCCTCCCTTTCTCGACTTTAATACAAACAACCTCCTTATCCTCCGGCCACCGTCTTCGGCCCAGCCATTTGTTCCGTCCGTAGGCCTCCTGTGTTCTCCTACAAACCCTAAGATCCGACAATGAGAGAAATCCTGCACATCCAGGGCGGCCAGTGCGGCAACCAAATCGGTTCCAAGTTCTGGGAGGTCATATGCGACGAGCACGGCGTCGACCCGACCGGGAGGTACAACGGCGACGAGGCCTCGGATCTCCAGCTCGAGAGGATCAATGTATACTACAATGAGGCGTCCGGCGGCCGCTACGTCCCTCGCGCCGTGCTCATGGATCTGGAGCCTGGAACCATGGACAGCATCAGATCTGGTCCTTACGGCCAGATCTTCCGCCCCGATAACTTCGTCTTCGGGCAGTCCGGCGCCGGGAACAACTGGGCCAAAGGTCATTACACGGAGGGGGCCGAGCTCATCGATTCCGTCCTCGATGTCGTTCGCAAGGAGGCTGAGAACTGTGATTGCTTGCAAGGTATATGACAAAATGACCTCTGATTTTTGCCCTCATTTCTCAGATCTGTTCTGGCGTTTGAGTTTCTTTTCTGGATGAATGACTGAATGCGAATTTCATTAACTTGGATTGATTTGTTTGAGGTCTGCGAACTGTAGAGCGGAGATTCGCCACCGTTACTGAATTTTAATTCTTGGATAACTATGAATGGTGTTGATTGGATGAAGTTCATTGTGCTTGGATGGATGGATTAACGCGAATTTCATTCCTAGTTCTTGATTCTATCTTAATGGCTTGCTAGTATAGGGTCTCGTTAGACAATTTTTGTTTTCGTTTGAACTGCTTAGCGAAATTGAGAGCACCAACCTTGTTGAATCTTTCATGCTGTGAATCATGAGCTTGCGAGTAAGGAAGCTGCAGCAATCGAACAAGCATACATGGCATTCATATCTCCTTTTTTTCTCGTGAATCTGTCATTTTGCTCTTTTTGAATGATTAAGTTAATTGCTGGTTGCCCTGCTCCATGTTATTCCTTTTCTTGATTGTTTGTTCTTTAGCCATAACTTTTCTTCATAGAGGACGTGAGCTATATGAGCATGGCCCCCACCATTGATGTTTTGTCTGGCGTGGAGATTCTTTTTTGTGGTCTCTCTCCAAACTACATAACTAGAGTTGCTTTGAACAGATCTAGAGATGAAATTTATGATAATGTCTAAGTTTCACCGCTGCATGATTGCGGGGGATTGCCCAATTCCAACAACACCACCCACTCGCATCTATTACCTCTTTTCACCTTTTAGCATCCTGTTACAGGAGAAAAGTAGGAATGGATCATCATAGGATAGATCTGGGTTCTCATTATTCTGTAGAAGTAAAGTAACATCTGTCATTGTCCCTGGTTTGTTGATTATGACTTTAGTACATTGCTTTTATCTTGGTGGTCCATTGCTTTTGGATCTAAGATTCTGATGCTTATGTTTCGATGTTAATGGCTGATTTGGCATTCCATTCACTTGTCCAATCCTAACTACTGGACTTTAGGCTTAGATGCTGTCTATGGTAATAAATAGACTAACTTATTTTCTTTACCAGGCTTTCAGGTATGCCATTCACTTGGAGGAGGCACAGGCTCTGGCATGGGAACCCTTCTGATCTCTAAGATCAGAGAGGAGTATCCTGACAGGATGATGCTCACATTCTCGGTCTTCCCGTCACCTAAGGTCTCAGATACCGTCGTGGAGCCCTACAATGCAACCCTCTCTGTCCATCAGTTGGTTGAAAATGCTGACGAATGCATGGTCCTTGACAATGAAGCACTTTACGACATATGCTTCCGTACTCTCAAGCTCAGCACTCCAAGCTGTAAGTTTTAGTATCGTCACTCATCAGTGCTGTATGTTCTAAACTAAACTAACACTGACTTTTGATATTGCAGTTGGAGACTTGAACCACTTGATCTCAGCAACCATGAGCGGAGTAACATGCTGCCTCCGTTTCCCCGGTCAGCTCAACTCCGACCTCAGGAAACTTGCGGTGAACCTCATCCCATTCCCCCGCCTCCACTTCTTCATGGTCGGATTTGCCCCTCTCACCTCCCGTGGATCCCAGCAGTACATCTCCCTCACCGTCCCTGAGCTGACTCAGCAAATGTGGGACGCCAAGAACATGATGTGCGCTGCTGACCCCCGCCACGGCCGATACCTGACTGCTTCAGCCATGTTCCGTGGCAAGATGAGCACGAAGGAAGTTGATGAGCAGATGATCAACGTCCAGAACAAGAACTCGTCCTACTTTGTTGAGTGGATCCCCAACAACGTGAAGTCATCTGTGTGTGACATCCCACCAAGGGGGCTGAAGATGGCCTCCACTTTCGTCGGGAACTCGACTTCCATCCAGGAGATGTTCAGGAGGGTGAGCGAGCAGTTCACAGCTATGTTTAGGAGGAAGGCCTTCTTGCATTGGTACACTGGGGAAGGGATGGACGAGATGGAGTTCACCGAGGCAGAGAGCAACATGAATGATCTGGTGGCTGAGTACCAGCAGTACCAGGATGCGACTGCGGATGATGAAGGGGAGTACGAGGAGGAGCCCGAAGAGTACGAGGGATAAGGGAGGAGAGAAAAGGTGGCGGCGAATTTCTCTGATGATCTCCGAAGGTTTCATATGTAATGCGTAATCGTTAGTTTGGTGTTATTTTGTTGTTTCGAGTTCCTCGGAGGTTTATGGATGGAGTTTTGATGTTGGGAACAATATTTGATCAGGAGTATCAGAGAGGGGAGCGGTCTGTTTCTTTACTTGCATTTTCTATTATCCATTCGATGGCGGAATTCTTGGTATATGTTTGTTTCTTTGGCTGTGGGAGGAAATTTTCATGAGCTAGCAACTAGGGGATGTGTTTTTTGGTACGATTGTTTAAAGTGCACAAGAATTTCTTCCTTGCAGCATTCCAAAATGGATGTCATTGCAAAATTGGCTACCGTTACTGAGTGTTATAGGGTTCCTAGTTGTTACTGAGTGTCAAATTCACAATCCATCATAATTTTACTCATTTAATTATACTAGTATCTTTGTCTGAAGTTTCCACAAATAAATTTTATTCTATTGTTATTCTCACTCGCTCCTTCACATCCAAAATTAAGGCTACCAATCTCCCGCCTCTTCCCCTATGTGGCTCACTCTATCAAAGTCAACGAGCACCACTACAACTCCGGAATTGGTGGATTCGAATCTAGCAACGATGAAGAAGTAGGAAATCTTGGTCCATTACGTGGCGCCCATCGTCCGATACTATGGACCTAGGATATTAACGGTTAAATTATAAAATTGATGATCACATTCAATGGATTTTACGGAATTGGAAGGCCAATGCTCAATGATAAATTGAGGTTTATAGTCAATGACTAGTAAGAAATGTGAAATAAATAAATAACGACCAAACATATAACTCACATACTACTGTAGGTCTTTCCAATTTCCATAACTCAAGCTAATACTCTTCAAGGCCTGTGGGTTTGTTTTGGGTTTAAGCCCATCTCATCCAGGCCCATTAGGTCAATACCATCTTCTTCTTTGCTTGCAGAGCTTAAATTCCCCTCTCATGTGCCTTCGTCTTCTTCACTTCTCTTCCCCTATGAATCCGATTTCCTTCCCCCACTATCAGTACAGTATCAGAGCCCCCTTCTCCACGTGGGTAACAAATTGTTTGGGAGAGGATATGATTTCAGCTCTTCTCTTCTCTTCTCTTCTCTTCTTCTTTCTGCTACACCAATTCCCCCCAAACAGAGTGTTGTTTTTGCAATTGGCAGATGAATCAAACCATGTGGGGGCTAGGAGAATTTCGAGACCCCTGTAACCGTAAACCTGCGCCCATTCACCCAAAAACAAATTCCCTCCTTCATCCAACCGTTATCTTACAGCTGTAGCTGTGCAATGATTATTGGATTGCTCTCCAAGTTTTCACTCTCTGCTTCATTCACTCACTCTATAAAACAGACAGAGGCCAAGCTGCGAGCCCTCCACTCCACTCCACACTACTCTGCTACGCATTACCCTCTTCAATTTCCAATTTCGAAACCATGAGCAGCCGAGGTTCCCCAATGCGTTCCCTGGATGCCAATCCTGCTCCTCGCATAGTCATTCATCCGAATCGTCCCGCTGTCCCATTTTGGAGGAGAATTTTGACGACAATCTTCACCAATCGTCCTCTTGTTCCGGTTTGGAGGAAATTTCTGGGCATACTCAAAAGATGGGCAACTTTCCAGCCAACGTTTCAGATTCCTAATGCTGATCCCGTTGATCCTCCTGCCCGTCCTCCGCTTCACCGCAGGCTCAACCGGCTCGGAGGCGTCCCGTTCCGATTCGTGTTTCTCAAGGTGTCGGACTCGGCATTCTGGTTCCTGGTATGCATCCTAAAGTTCATCCTCCACATCTTAGCCTTCAACGGCACCAACTTCTATCAGAAGAAATTTAAGGGGGGAAAGTCGCTTTGGGGATGGGCTGTTCTTGCATGTGTGTTCTTCATCTGGTTGGTTATTTACTTCAAGAAGATCCACCGCTGGAGGCTGAAAGCCACCTGGCTCCAGCTTGATTTCCCATGGCCAGTGAAGATGTTAGGTTTACCTTTGCTGATTTTGTGCAATGGTTGGTATAATGTTCTTCCTGAGGCTGAGTTTGCTTTTCCAATGATGTTGCTTCTCCTCATCTTTCTGGCGACGGCGCACATCCTTGTATTGAGGCCTTCCTCTGATTTGAACGTCATAAACGGCCTCCTTACGGCCCTGGTGGTATATGGCATCAAGATAAGGAAGAATCTGCCTCCCTATGGCCTATTCGCTATTGTCGCATCCTGCCTTTTCCTTGGTGCGTTCAAGTTCTATTTTGAGGCAATGGTGAAGGAGTTCTCTGTTCCACCGGCGGCGCTCGGAGACGGCAATGACAACGATGCTGATAATGGGCCGAGGCCTGCAAATGAAGGGGATGCTGGAGCCCGAGAGAGGTAGAGAGGTTCATCACGTTTGAGAAATTGAAAGAGAGGTTGTTCAGTTGACTAGAATAATGTTTTGTTTGTTGTTCGTATTCCGTTGACTAGGTGATATGAGTGGGCTTTTCTTACTGGGCCATCACAACCCATATTAATAATATAATATAAATAAAATGCAGTTTCATTTCAGTTCACCAATTTCATTTCAGTCAACAATTTATTCGACCACAACAAATGTTTCACGAGAAGCAACTCATTCTAGTTTTTGGTAGAATCATACAATCCTTGTTTCTTGGGCTAAGTCATTTTCCAGCCCATTCCTTGAGTTAACTTAAGAACGTAGATATCGCTGCAAGAGGATCGATGGCCTACTGCAATTAGTAGGGGTGGCCGTTCGGTTACCGGTTACCGGTTAACCGGTCGGTTAAATCGATAACCGGCCGGTTAAATCGATAACCGGCCGGTTAAATCGATAACCGGCCGGTTATCCAATAACCGGTAATCGAAATAACCGAACTTCGGTCGGTTATTGGAGGCTGGACAAAATGGGTTTTGGTCTTAAAAGTGGTTCGGTTAACCCATAACCAAGATAACCGAGAAACCGAAGCCTATTTCGGTCGGTTTTCGATAGAGAAGGTGGTTATTTTGGTTAACCGATAACCGGCAGATCGGTTACTGGTTACAACCGAAATAACCAAACTGCCACCCCTAGCAATTAGGGCTGGAGGTTCGGTTATCGGTTGTCGGTTAACCGGCCGGTTAAACCGATAACCGGTGGTTACCGGTTATCCGACTAACAGAAAATTATGTTCTCGGGCGGTGTTCGGTAGGCGAGTTAGGCGTTGCGGTTAACCGGCTAACCGAGGGCGATAACCGCCGGTTAACCGACTAACCGGCCCACCCTTAAATCCCTAATCGAAGCCACCCGCCCACCCCTTCCCTTCTCTTCTCTGCATCGCGACGGGAAGAGCACTCTGTGCCGCCGCCCGCCTGCACCTGAGTCCCTTCTCCCCTGCTTGAACTGTTCAGGCTGAACGGCGACGCCAACGACGAATCTCCCCGACCCGTGCCCGGCGCCTGCTGCTCCGCCATCTCCCTCCACGACCTGCGGCCGGCGCCCCTGCTGCTCCGCCATCTCCTCCCCGAGATCCCGACCAGTCCACGAGCAGCCAACACCCGCCGTTCCTCCGCCACGGTTCCAGCGCCGAGCCAACTACGTAACTAAATGGGATGAAAGACTATCTAGTTTGAAAATGTAGGCGAGCGAGAGAGAACAAAGAAAGGGACTGACGAGAGAGAGGGAAGTAGGGCATGGGAACAAACAAAGCAGATCAGATCAAATCAATCTTTGACTACTCCAATACCCACCAAAACCCAGCGACTGTTCCCCTCTTTGAGTTTCGATTTTGTTGGGAAGAGGAGGTGGCGGAGAGGCGACCGTTGGATGGGAAGGGGGGAGATCCAACGGCGGCGATGCGGCGGGGGGGAATAAGGGAAACAGTCGGTGTCGGGTAGTGGGAACAGATTAGCGCGAAATCCGGAAAAAAGGGAACCGCACGGCGGCAGAGCCGAGGGAGAGAGAGATGGGGAGTACGGACGGCGGGAGAGAATCTGAAGCGGATGCGGGACACGACGGCTTGCGGTTAACTCGGTTAACCGAGCAACTAACCGGTAACCGACCGGTCGGTTGTCGAATAACCGATGGGCTCCGTCGGGCGGTTGGCGGTAGGCGTGTTGGGCGTCGCAGTTAACCGGTAACCGACATTTCGGTTATCGGTTATAACCGAGATAACCGAAAATCCACCCCTAACTGCAATGCAGAGGAAGCAGGAGTATATTGAAGGAAATGGAATCCCAGTTGTTAGAAATCAAGTAGCAAACGTACGTTGACATTATGGGGTGGTTTGGAAGTTGTGATTTCAAATGGTGTATTGACCTAATTCATGTATTTGTGAGAATAAATTATTTTTTTGGATGATATTGAACTTTAATACATGCATTAACGTTTTGGAGGTCCTACCACAATCACTAAAAAATGAGGGATTATTAATCACTCCTTTTTTGTTGAGATTCTTCACAATCACTCAAAATTAACTTTTCTTGTTTAACAACAAATATACAATCTAAACCTCCAAACAAATTATTTGTCTAATACATCAATTGATTCAATTCATTAAATGATAATACACTAATTGAGTCAATACATCAATTTGAAGCGGAGAGGAAACCCCATAAGATAAGAAAGATACTGGTTGATCCTACTGAAATGCCATGGCTACTGAATTTCCAGCCATGCCTACTGAAGTGCATGATACAAATCCTTTAATTAGAAAGCTAAAACATAATTATAGGAAGCATCTAGTTCCAGCAACCTCATCACCTCATCGCACCTGATAGAAACCAACTTCGTTAGGGTTTTTATATTTATTATTATAATTACTAAGACTAACTCCAACCCAAAAAGCTATATTTAGCCTCCCAAGCTCTCAAATGTGCATATTTGCCTCCCAAAACACTTTTTTCTCCAACCCTATAGGCTTCCAAATTTAGCTTCCCACATCTTTTTTTGATTTAATTTCCATAATCTATACTTATTTACAATATCATTCTTGTAATTCACTTTAATATTTTTATAGTTTGTTATTACTTGTGAAAACAAAATTTTCGATGTAATTTTTTTTAATTCCGAGATAAATTTTTTTTTGCAAAATTATTCATTTTTTGTAGCCGTTACTTTATGACCGTTTTTTTGGACCAATCCAAATATGACCGTTTTTTTTAGCCGTTACTTTATGACCGTTTTTTTGTCGTTTTGTGCATCATATGTGTTTATAAATTACAATTCTTCATTTTTCATCAACTCACTGAAACTTCTTCCCATTTCTAAAACAAACACATTCATCATGAGTATGTCAGATAGCTCATCGTCGGGAGGAGAAGAAGAAATCGAAGAGTACGAGAGGTTTCACCACCTACGGTTGAGTTTAATCGGCCGGAGGCTGGCTGAAGGTTCATCAAGTCGACGTCAAACTACAAGTCGACGTCACATTGATCGTGAAAGGGTCGAATGTAATCGCCGTCTTATGAGGGATTACTTCGATCCAAATCCAGTATACAATGCTCGCATATTTAGAAGGCGCTATCGGATGCAACCAAGATTATTCCATCGCATTATGGGCGACATTGTGAGGTCCCCTCATTTGCTCTACGGCGTGATAGCTTGGGTCAATTATCATTATCTCCAGAGCAGAAGCTTACTGGTGCGATGCGCATGCTAGCATATGGTTCTCCAGCTGATCAACTTGACGAGTATGTTCGTATGGGTGAGAGCACTTTGATGGAGGTCTTCAGAAAGTTCTGCAACAACATTATCAACATGTATGGGGCCACATATCTTCGCGCACCTACTCCTGCCAATTTAAGGATCTTACTCAGTAAAGCCTCAAGACGTGGCTTTCCTGGAATGATTGGATCAATTGACTGTATGCATTGGGAATGGAGGAATTGTCCAAGTGGCTGGGCAGGACAATACAGCGGCCACATGCATAGGCCAACAATCATTCTAGAGGCGGTGGCCTCCTACAACACATGGATATGGCATGCTTTCTTTGGGTCTCCTGGATCGAACAACGATATAAATGTTCTGGGGATGTCGCCAGTGTTTGATTGTATTGTCAATGGAAGCGCTCCACATGTACGATTTGAGGTAAATGGCCATGCTTATGATCAATGCTATTATTTGGCCGACAGTATTTATCCCTCATGGTCCACTTTAGTGAAGACCTTCAGCAATCCAAGGTCAAAGACTTTAGTGTCGACTTTAGTGGAATTGGACCGACAACCAATTGAGGGTCACAATACCACTTTGGGCAATTTCGAAGGATGACCCAACAATGCTCATGTTCAAAGGCTTTGTCCCCATTCTCTTCCTTATATATCTGTCTTGCTACAAATTCCTATCAAAATTATTAAAACACAAGTTAGATAAGTAAATATACATAAAAATAAGAAATACAAAAGTTAAAGTTTCCAAAACAATACCACATCAACTTGGTTGGTACCGCTCGTTTGACTCCTCTCCGCCCTCTGCAAAGCTCCCTTCCAAACTTTACACTTGTTACTGATAAGTCTCAGTCGGGATTCCATTGAATCCGTAGTACGAATTATTGTAGGATCGCTTCTTCGAAATTCCCTCTCCACCCTTTCCCATAATCTCGTGCTCTTTTGATTGATGCCAACCGCTCCATCTTCAGATATTGATATCCAAGATTTGCACAAGTTTACATCTTCATGAGCTTTCCAATTGGGTCCTCTCTTACTTGACATGTTTTTGTTTTGAGAGATGATAAATAGATGAGAATGAGAGAGATTGATTTGAGAATAAGTGCAGAAAAACCATGAGAAGTTACTCATTATATAGAAAAAAAATATGACCGTTTTATGGCCGTTAAAATGTGCCCGTTGCAATGTGACCGTTTTATTGTCACTATATTACTTCTTTCAAACTAAAACGCAAACACACCCACACAAATAACCACTCAAACAAATTGAAAAAAAAAGGCAGCCTGCACGAGGGGTCCCCCTTCCAGTTGCTATTTTTGCCACTTTTCTCCATCTGAGCTGCTACCTATCCACCTCAACACTCCCTTCTCCAAATTTGGAAGCTAAATTATTGATGGGCTGGAGATGAAAAAAGGCAAAAAGTTCACTTTCTCCAAATTTGCAAGCAAGGGTTGGAGTTAGTCTAATAGGGTAATTCTTATTATGGTTAGTAGTATTCTAGTAGAATTAAGATTATTAGTAGGGTTTTCCTATATTCGCTATAAATATGTACTAGGCCTATTCATTCGGAATGAATAAGAAGAATATTAAGAAACAATCTCCTAAACCCTATTCTCCCAATCCTCTCAATTCTCGTTCCCAATCCCTCTAAAAGTCTAGGCCGATTCTCTATCTTTCTCTTCTCAAATCCCTAATTCTGTTCTTGAATCTGTAATTTCCTATCTCACGACCAGACCC